TTTCAGGACAAGGTTTCTCTGTGTAGCTTTTGGTGCCTGTCCTGGAACTCACTTTCTAGACCAGGCTGGCCTGGAATTCACAGAGATTCACCTGCCTCTGCCTCCTGAGTGTTGGGATTAAAGTCATGCACCAACACAGCCTGGTCTTTTTATTTGTTTTTTTGGCCTCAAGCTGTGACAATCTTCATGCCTCAGTCTCCCACAAGCTGGAATTACAGGCATAAGCATGAGAGAATCATTTCTGGAGGGTTGACCTCTGACCTCTACACTGTAAACCACAGCATGAGCAACATACATATACACACAGTAATACTTTTTAAAAATTATTTACTTATTTTATGTGTATTGGTGTTTGCCTGCATGTATGTCTGTGTGAGGGTCTCAGATCCCCTGGAACTGGAGTTACAGACAGTTGTGAGCCAACGTGTGGGTACTGGGAACTGAAGCAGGGTCTGCCGGAAGAGCAGCCAGTGCTCTTAACTGCTGAGTCATCTCTCCAGCCCCACAATAGTACTTAAAAAAAAAAAAAAGTTTTTTTCAGGCATTTGAAGATAAAACTAACAAGAATTGCAAAGAAGTATAATCAGAACTCACTTAAGCAAAAATAGAATAGAAAATTTTCAAAGATCCAGGCAGTGGTGGTGCAGGCCTTTAACCCCAGCAATTGGGAGGTGGATCTCTGAGTTCAAAGCCAGCCTGGTCTACAGATTGAGTTCCAGGACAGCAAGGGCTACACAGGGAAACCCAATCTTGAAAAGAAAAAAGAAAAAATTCAAAAGTGATGTCCCTGGTCTCTAAAACTGACCTAAGGAAATAAACCATGATAATTCCATAATGGCTGGGTGTTAAACCTATAATCTTAGCACTAAGGAGGCAGAGGCAGAAGGATCAAGGTAAGTTCGAAGACAGCCTGGCCTACATAAAAATAAGTCCCAGGCTAGCCTGGTCTCAAGAGGGCAGGAAATTTGACACAAGAACCATTTACTTTCTTTTCATTGAGCCTAGTACATTTCCCATAATATGTCCCTTTAGTCATGGATTTCATTTTCCAAAATTCAGCAGGTTACTAAAAAAATCCCAGCACAGCCTCTATTTGACACAGAATGGAAAGGGGGGAAACAACAACAGAAAGGCATTCTTTCTGACTAGTTGTCATGTTCTATGAACAAGGAATCAGTAAGTTAGGACCGATGGAATAAAGGAAAGGAGCACAGATAATACAGACAGCAGTGGATCAACTTCACTGGGTGTCGGGTGGGGTGGTTCTCTGCCCAAGCCTATAACCCCAGCACCCCAGAGGCTGGGATAGCCCTGGCTACATAGGGACGTCAGCTACAACAGGAACAAAGATTGCTTTCTATGCTTTCACTAACAGCATCCTGGAGAGCTACCCTTCCCTTTAGAGAAGTTCACTCAGGCAACTTAGGATTCCTGACTTTACTCAAAGAATTTCAGGACAAGCAGTATGATACAAATTAAAGTTTGTTAAAAGCAATTACAATACAGATTTCAAGGATAGGGTTTAAAAAGGGGCTCAGGAAAGAGAAGACATCCTAGAGTGTGAGTACGGGCTTACCAAAGGAGACCAACAATTTAGTGTCTTAGAAGACTCTTGTGAATCGCAGGTTGCGTCTCAAAGGTTTGCTAAGAACCCACTCCTCCTCTTTTTATTTTACTGGTTTGGCGTTTGTTTGTTTGTTTGTTTGTTTGTTTGACAAGGTCTCACTATGTAGCCTGGAACTCACTGAGTAGGCCAGGATAGATAGTCTTGAACTTAGACATCCCCCTGCCTCTGCAAAGATTAAAGGAGTTCAGAAGTCCTCCCTCTTCTTTTGATAAATACAATTATAGGATGACTCAACACCAGGAGCCAGGCAGGTCACAGAGGGTTCAGAACATGCCCTTGTATCACAAAGGCAGACTCCAGTGAGGCTTCCGGAAAATTGAAGTTTTCAAGCTGGGAAAGGAGAAAAGGCCTTAGCAAATGTAATAATGTCTTTAGCCAGATTGTGAAAGGGCTCCTTTCCCTTCCCATGTCCCCATAATTTTCTTTCTATCCTGCATCAGGGAGATGCCATCTCCAAAAAATAAAATGCAATCTCAAAATTGAAGAAGAAAGCAACCAAATGAAAATAAACAAAATCAACTGTTTCCGTCCGGTGGTGGTAGCACATGCCTTTTGTCCCAGCACTAGGGAGGCAGAGACAGGCAGATCTCTGGAGTTCAAGGCCAGCCTCGTCTAGAGAGCAAGTTCCAGAACAGTCAGGACCACACAGAGAAATCCTGCCTCAAAACACCAAAAACCAAACAAACAAACAAACAAACAAAAAAACCATAACTGTTTCATTAAAAGGATTTCTTCATCTTATTAAAAAAATTTGCAAGTTTATAGACAGTGACACAAGCCTATAACGCCAGCACTTGTGGAGACAGAAAAGGATCACTGCAAGTTCAAGGCCAGCCTGATCTACGTACATAGAAAACTCCAGACTAGCCTCTCAAATAGCCCTACTCAGAAAAAAATGACAGAAAAAAAATTACTATTCCCTGCTTAGACACTTAGGCTAATATTGATCAGGAAATGAAAATCTGGTCAAGAGACTGTCATTCTGGTGACTTGTTTAAAAACACAACAAATAAGACAGCTCCACCCGCACAGCTGGAAATGCTCCTGACTTACACAGTAAAATCTGTTTATCTGTGGCACTTCTTAGCAAGAGAAACACGATGCACTCTGAGGAGTTATATAAGGATTTTGCAATGTGTGATCAGTTTGAAATCCTGTTTATTCACTAACTCAGACATGGGCTATTTTACTACACCGTCTGGTTTTCCCTAACACTTTCCAATTGTATACTTTGTATCCTAGGATTCAGCAATCACTCCAATAGAATCCTGACTACTTATTTCATCTTTTCTTCATGTAAACAATGATTTAAGATTAAGGAACTGATATTTAGGAGCTGAAGAGAAGGTTCAATGCTTAGGAATGTGTGTTGTTCGTGTAGGACCTGAGGTCAGTTCCCAGCATCCACATCTTATGGCTTACAACTCTGGCTCCAGGGATCCAACACTTTATTCTGGACTCCTCCCACACCTGCACTCATGTGTAAACATTACCATTTACATAATTTTTAAAACTTAAAAAAATTTTTTTTAAAAAACTGGTATTGGCACATGATCTCTGTAAGAGTTTGAGTCTAGCCTGGCCTACATAGTGAATTCTAGAACAGCCAGGGCTATGTAGAGAGACCCTGTCTCAGAAAGAAAAAAAAAAATGCTGTTTCCAGAAATAATGGGAAAACAGTACATTTCGCAGTGATTCACCACTGTATACAAACCTGCTATTCACAGATAGGAACTAAGTAAAATTTAAATTTCAATATGAGACAGCAGAGACCACCATACTCCTCTCCCCAAACCCTTACTTTCTAAAAAGCTGTGAAGATACAAAGTTCTGGGAAATTGGGGATTTACTTTGTCAGAGAATGTCAAGATAAATCTGGCCCACTAAAATGGAATACTTCATAAGAAATAATTGTAATGTAGTAGAAAGAGGACTGGGCAGTCAGGTGAGATGGGTCATGCCCGGTAATTCCAGTAGTGGGAAAGCTGAGACAAGCAGTTGCAGCGGTTCGAGGCCAACCTGGGACTAGAGTAAGACCATGTCTCAAAATAACAGAAAGAAGGGGGTGGGGAGGAAGAGGATGTCCACAAATGGCATGGAACCTTTTTCTGAAAGAATAGGAATTGCTTCACCTCGACCTAAAATATTTAAAAATGGGTTCTGGATAAAGACCTGTCCTGAAATACAACCATGACCCAAACTTCTGCCTTGGGCAGCAGACACTGAAAAACGTTAACTCCAAGTTTCAAAGTACAGCCGGAGGGGGAGGGTGGCGGTGGGAGTTACACGCCACAAGAATCTGAGCAGATACTTAAAGAACCAAGTTTTACGTTTAAATGTGAACCTTTCCAACTGTGAAATCAAGACCTCGAGAAACATCAATGTTTACGTTTACAGCCCCGATTACTCTCAGTAAACCGAGCCACTTTGCCCAGTTACTTGTTGGACATCTGGGGACGTCAGCGGGCAGAGGGTTAAAAGACCACAGCACTCCCAAACGCCCCCAGCAGAGTGAAAGCGGCCCAAGCCGGCACCTCCGCAACGCCGGGTCCGGGGCACAGAGCCCCCCACGCCCCTCCCGGCTCCCCAGCTCCGCCGGGCACGGAGCCTCCCACGCCCCTCCCCCACCGCCCGTTCGCCACGGCCCGGCTGCTCAGCCCGGCTCTCCGCACTTGTCAGTCCCTCCGGTCTCCTCACCTGGGTTAGCCGTAGTCGCCGCCATGGTCGAGATGGCACGGTCGCTGCGCCACCCTCAGTGGGAGGGGCCGCCGCCACCGAGCTGGGGGAGGGGAGGGAAGAGCCACTCCACAGGATCGGCACCTCACCGCCGCCACCGCCACCGCGGGACCCAAGATGGCGGGCGCCCAGCCCCCCCACCCTGGGGGAGAAGACACGCCCCGTGCCGTGGGCGCGGTCAGCCTGTGGACGGCCTCCTCGGGAACGCGGACCAATAGAGACACTAAGTCGACTTAGGGGCCGGGCTAAGGGCTAGACCAGTGAGTCCAGTGACCCGCGAGCTAGGCAGTCGACCAGCTGTTTCCCTAATCCTGCCTTCTTTGCGTCAGATTCATGACCAAGTTGACGTCAGTGAAATGCAATGAAAACGAGTATTTTACTAAAAAGTTCACTTTCCTAGTGAGCTCGACTGCATATGCTCCCTACAGATGATTTGTTATATAATCCTCTTTGTATGTTCTAATATGTCAACTTCACATACTGATCTCTATTCCTTTCTAGACCGTTTTCCTTTAAGGACCTTTGTCCTAGTAAAAGTCCGGTAACTAACTTTTTTAAAGCCTGCTCTGAACCTGGTAGGATAAAAGACGCTAGGTGATTATCAACATGTGGTACTAAAGATGTCAACAGGCAAAACTGGAGGCAATGAATGAAGATATTTTTATTAAGACATGTATAACAGCACTCAGAAGACAGAGTCCAGCCTGGACTACAAAATGAAACTTGTCCTACTACGTCAATAAGGATAAAGTGACAAGTTTTTACAAATGGTAAGGTGACAGCTGCACAGATTTATAAGAACTGGGCAATTAAGTACAGACACTGTATACTCACAACACCATGAGACAAATTCTACAACTTTACATTCAAAAACCTACAATCGAAGCAGAGCATAGTGGTGAATGCTTTTAACCCCAGCACTCAAGACAGGTAGGTGGATCTCTGTGAGTTCAAAGCCAGCCTGGTCAACATAGTGAGTTCCAGGACAGCCAGGACTATGTAGACATACCCTGTCTCAAAACAAAACAAACAAAAAATACAAAGAGACCTTGTAAATTAATCCAGTAGTGAGAAGCAAACTGAAAGAAACTAGCATTCAAAACCTATTACATTCATTCCCATGTGGATGTGGGTGGGGGGAGGGGTTGTTTAACCTCAAATTTTACCATGTGGATGAGAATGGTCTTGAAGTCCTGATTCTACTGCCCCTTCTTCCAATGCGGGGACTACAAGCATATGGCACTGCCCTTGTCTTGTTGTCTCACAGTCTGATTCACCAAATAGTTAAGAATTTGCTGTCAAGGTGACTGCACTGGTAAGGGCACACACAGCCGAGCTAACAACCCAAGTTCCAATGCTCTGATCTTACAGAAGGGAGAAGAGAACGGACTCCTGCAAGTGTCCTCAGCTCGCACACACCATCGAGTGTGCACTCACTCCCCCCCCAAAAAAACACAAAATTTACAAAAAGCAAGCAGAACTGGTAAGATGGCTCAAGAGCTACAGGCACTTGAGGTGGAAGGAGAGCCCGCCCCACTGCTGTCTTCCGGCCTCCACATATATATCATACACACACACACTCACACAAATGAACAACTATAAACAAATCAATGAAGTTTAATAAACCATCCGCCAAACAGAGGCAGAGTAAAAGGATAGCTTCTGGTTTGTTGGTTTGTTAGGTTGTTTTGGTTGAATGGTTGGTAGGTTTTAGAGGTTTTGTATAGTTTTGTTTTTAATTATTCTTTTTTTTCTTTCTTTTCTTTTGGTTTTTTTTTTAAAGATTTATTTATTATATGTACAGTGTTCTGCCTACATATATGCTTGCAGGTCAGAAGAGGGCATCAGATGGTTGTGAGCCACCATGTGGTTGCTGGGAATTGAACTCAGGACCTCTGGAAGAGCAGCCAGTGCTCTTAACCACTGAGCCATCTGTCCAGCCCCTTCTTTTGGTTTTTTAATACAAGATTTCTCTGTGTAATCCTGGGTGAGTTTTTATTATTTTTGTTATATGTATCAACGTCTACATTTAAGTCTGTGAACCGAAGTGCAGGCACGTGAGTAGGCAGAGGTGTCAGATCCCATGGAGCATTACAGGTAGTTGTGAATCCTCAGATGTGGGTGCTGGAAACCTAACTCAGGTCATTTAGAGAAGCAGCAAGTGCTCTTGAACACAGTCTTTAGCCCCTTTGTTTGCTGAAACAGGATCTCAATATGTAAGGCTGCTGACCTTCAACTACTGGGAACCTCATAATCCCTATTCCCAAGTGCTGGGATTACGGGCAATTGCAACCACACCTAGCTAACAACTGATAGTTTCATGAGACAGGACCTCACCGTGTAGCCCAGGCTATCCTCAAACTTGAAGTGATCCTTGTGCCATAGCTTTTTTGACTACGGGATTATAGGTGTGAGTGACCCTGCCTGTCATAGAGCAAGATTTTTTAAACTATAATTTATTTATTTTGTTTATTTATTTATTTATTTATTGACACAAGGTTTGTCTGTATAACAGCCCTGGCTGTCCTGGAACTACCTTTGTAGACCAGGCTGGCCTCCAACTCAGAGATCCCCCTGCCTCTGCCTTCCAAAATTGGGATTAAAGGCATTCACCACCATGTCTGGCTAAACTACAATTTTATAAATTCCAGTATGCTACTTATTTTGTAAATTTGATACAAACTAGGATAATCTGAGAAGAAGAAATGTCAATTAAGACAATGCCTCTAACCTGGCAGTGTGGTGCACACCTTTTTTTTTTTTTTTTTTTTTTTTTTTTGGTTTTTCGAGACAGGGTTTCTCTGTGTAGCTTTGCGCCTTTCCTGGAACTCACTTGGTAGTCCAGGCTGGCCTCGAACTCACAGAGATCCGCCTGGCTCTGCCTCCCAAGTGCTGGGATTAAAGGCGTGCGCCACCACCGCCCGGCTGTGGTGCACACCTTTAAAGTACTCACAAGACAGAGGCAGGGGGTTTATGAATTTGAGACCAATCTAGGATACATAAGAAGTGTGACAAAGTGCAGTGGCGCACACCTTTATCCCAGCACTCAGGAGGCAAAGCAGGTGGATCTCTGAGTTCTGGGCCATCATGGTCTACAGAGCAAGTTCCAGGATGGCCAGGACTACACAAAGAAACCCATCTCAAAAAACAAACAAAAGTGTGATGGTAGCCTGAGCTACATATATAGAAATGACATGGAAAAAGAGAAAGGTTTTCTGATCACAAAAGACCAAGAACACAAAAGCTGACAGGGAAATCTTGGCCATGGCATGAACAGCTGGGCACTGTGCTCCCAGCTCCTACTCCCCTACAATCTGCCATCCTGTCCAGGTACCTGAGCTTGTTCTTGACGTTGGGGGTCTCAGCTACAATGCCAGCGTACAGCCAGACCTGATTTCCATCTTTGTATTTGGCCACCACTCGACTGCCCACAAACAGCTTGTCAGCAGGAGGGTGGTAATCATAGGCAATATGGTTGCCAGACAGCAGACTCTTTCCTTTGTTGTCAAATTTCACTTTGTACTTCTTTCCTAGACCTGGGTAAAAGACAAACAAAATTAAAACAAAACAAACAGCAACGACACAACTCTAAGTCCTGGCTGCTATGTAGGAGACAAAAGGAAAGGCTTTGGGGAAAGAATCAGCAATGGAGACCTACAGGTTACCTTTCCTTAGGCCTTCCTCTAGCTTGAACATACCAACAGTCTGGATGGCAATAAGGGTGCCCTTGTGCCATGTCTTAGTCCTCTTCTTGCCCAGAATCCGCATGCTGACTATCAGGTCCCCATCTTTGCTCAGTTCTCCAGACATCTGACCCAAGGTTCCTATAGACAGACACACGGAGTTGTTATAAAGAGTGATGTCATAGGTTAGAGAAAGGAAAGGTCAAGAGGGCAGTGGGGTAGGATGGGCATGGAGCTCAGCTTGTGGAATGCTTACCTAGCATGTCACCACAACCTCCTAGTCCTAACTCCTTACTAACAGGAGCAGTAACAACAGTTAACATCCTGAGCCACCACATCAAACAATCTCAGACTGACTGTGGACATAAAAATATTAAGCCGGGGGGCTGGAGAGATGGCTCAGAGGTTAAGAGCACTGACTGCTCTTCCAGAGGTCCTGAGTTCAATTCCCAGCAACCACATGGTGGCTCACAACCACCTGTAATGAGATCTGGTGCCCTCTTCTGGCCTGCAGTCACATATGCTGTATACATAATAAATAAATAAATCTTTAAAAAAAAAAAAAAAAGCAAAAGTGACACAAAACAAAAAAAAAAAAAAAATATTAAGCCGGGGATAGGGGGCTGTGGGGTGTGGGGGTGCACGCCTTTAATCCCAGCACTCAGGAGGCAAAGCCAGGTGGATCTCTGTGAGTTCCAGGCCAGCCTAGTCTGTAGAGTGAGATCCAGGACAGGCTCCAAAAACTGCACAGAGAAACCCTGTCTCAAACCAAATAATAATAATAACAACAGTAAAAGAAACTGACAATAAAAACAGGATTTTGAGACGCAAAGCTGATTGTCAGTAACATTTCAGAAAAAAACGCGCCACTCATTTATGTAGCTACCCCTCAACACTAACCTTTATGTAGATCCTGGGAACTGCTCTTCTTGTTGACAGCATCCATGAACTTCTGGACATCTGAGCTGATTTTAAGGCAGCCATAGCTTCACGGAGCTGTAGGAAAATGGAAGGGGTGAGGGGAGGGGATGCAGTTATCAGGAGTTAAGACACAATGAGAAGGCCAGGAACTTAGTGAGACAGCACTTGCCTAACATGCACAGGGACCCCTGGTTCACATCCCTAATGCTGCAGATAGATAGATAGATAGATAGATAGATAGATAGATAGATAGATAGATATAGACAAACACACAAACAAACAAATAAAAAAACAGGAAAAAGCATACTACCTGTGAAGAACTTGTCTTCAACAACCAAAAGAGATTCAATTATATTTGAAGGACTGGGGAGAAAGCTCACTGGGTAGGAGAGCATGCTGGGCAAGCAAGACTATCCGAGTTCATATCTCCAGCACCCATGTTAAAAAACCAGTGTGGTAGTTTGAATACTAACAGCCCCCACAGGCTCATATACTTGAATGCTTAGTCACCAGGGAGGGGAACTGTTTGAAAGGATTATAAGGATTAGGAGGTATGGCCTTGTTGAAGGAAGTGTGTCACTGAGGGGGGCTTTGAGGTTTTAAAAGCTCATGCCAGGTCCTGTCTCTATCTCTTGCTCAGTTTGTGAATCAGGATGTAGCTCTCAGCTACAGCTCCAGTGCAACGAGCAACAACATGCTCTCCAGCATGAAGATAATGAACTGACAACACTCTGAAACTGTAGGCAAGGCACCAATTCAATGCTTTCTTTTATGTGTTGCCTTGGTCACGGTGTCTCTTCACAGCAATAGAACAGTGACTAGGGCAGTCAGTCATAGCTTTGAGTGCCTGTAAGACCAGTGCTGTTGGATATTTCAGAAAACTAGCAGCATAGCTGGAATGATACACTTAATATTCAATTAGACATACTGTCTCAAGGGAATAAGGCAGAAGAAAGTGCATAGGCATGCTTACACAGAGACACAGAGTCATAGACAGACAGACAGACAGACAGACAGACACACACACACACACACACACACACACCATACACATAAAATACAAAAATAGAAAAAGTATTTGAGAGCTGGGCAGTGATGGTGGAGTCAGGCGGATCTCTGTGAGTTCAACGCCAGCCTGGTCTACAGAGTTTTAGGACAGCCATGGCTACACAGAGAGACCCTGCTGTAATATAATCCTGTACACTGGGAAGATGTGTTACTCTCATTGTTAATAAAAAGCTGACTGGCCAATAGCTAGGCAGGATTTTCAGGGCAGAGAGAACGCTGGGAAGGAGGAGGACTGAGCCAGAGGAGTCGTAAGCCAGACAAAGCAGCAGCAACATGGGAAGTTCATAGATGAGGTAAACAAACTTCAGGCCAGCATATAGAGGAATAGAAATCAGTTAGTTTAAGTTATAAGAGCTGGCTGAGCATTTATAGGTAATAAGAAGTCTCTGTGTGGTTATTTGGGAGCTGGCAGTCCCAACAAGAAATTCCATCTGACTCAAAAAAAAAAAAAAAAAAAAAGTTTGGGAGCTTGTGGTCACTTTGTCAAGATACTTTTTCTTACACATCTGACTCAGAAATCAATTTTAGGTGTCATTTCTTATTAATCTCTATGGGATAAACTCAGCTGAATTGTATTATCATGAAACAGTGTATGCAGTTCCTGGTAACTTTTTTTTGCATTGTTTCTGATGTGTACTATGTATGTAGTGCAAGAAGCAGTAAGCATGACAGCTCCAAGCATGCAGAGGCCAACGCAACACCAGGTATCTTCTTCTGTTGCTCTCCAACCCCTGCCTTCAGAAACAGTCTATCACTGAATGGGAAATTTTGCCACTGAGTTCTTGGGGATCTACTTCTATCCAACAGTGCTAGGATTACATACACAGCCATGTTCAGCTATTTTTTTACGTGAGTCCTAGGGATTCAAACTCAGGTCCCTCATGCTTCCAAACCAAGCATTCTTACCCAAAGAACCATCTCCTCAGCTCCTTCCTACTTCTGCATCCTGGCATATCTATGAGAAGACTACAGCTCATAGAGCTTACTGCATGACAAATACATAGGTGGTGAAACCCAAGGCAGGCTCACCAAAACTTACTGCCATTCTCAAATCCCTATTCATTTCTTAAACAAAGGGTCACACATAATCCAGGTTGGCCTTGGACTTAATATGGACATGGAGATGATCATAAACTTTCTGCCTTCATCTCTGAGTGCTAAGATCATAAGCATGTATCACAACACACTGCTAGTACATTGCTGGAATTGAACCTAGGGTTTCCTGCAAATTAAGCAAGCACTCTATCTACTGAGAAACTTCTACAGTCTCTCAAATTCATATATACATGAAAATATATTTATGATACTGTAATTCTTTTTAAAGACTTTTAAAATATATCTGTATCAGTGTAGAAAAATGGCACCTCTATCCAGGTGCCCGCAGAGCCCAGAAGAGGGATTCTGATGTCCTGGAGTTGAAGCTACAGAGAGCTGAAATCTGCCACACAGAGACTAGAAACTAAATTCAAGTCTTCTAGAAATTCAGAACCTGCTTACAACCACTGAACAAAGGCTTCAATCCAGGTCGGGCAGTAGTGACTCACACTTTTAATCCCAGCATTTGGGATAAAGAGGCAGGCAGATGTCTGAGTTTGAGGCCACTCTGGTCCACAGAGTGAGGACAGCCAGAGCTATACAGAAAAACCGTCTCAAAAACTAAAAAATAAAAAAAATAAAAAATAGCCGGGCGGTGGTGGCGCACGCCTTTAATCCCAGCACTCGGGAAGCAGAGGCAGGCGGATCTCTGTGAGTTCGAGGCCAGCCTGGTCTCCAAAGCGAGTTCCAGGAAAGGAGCAAAGCTACACAGAGAAACCCTGTCTCAAAAAACCCAAAAAATAAAAAAAAATAAAAAATAATAATGAAATAAATCTTTAAAAGAGCAAAACCACTATTAAAAGTCCAAAACCAAACAAACAAATCACTATAAAGTGGGTGGGGTCACATTTATTGGTAACATACAAAGAGTCCGTAGGTTCAACACCCAGTACTGGGAACAGGGGGTAGTGAAAGGGGTCTGGAGACAAAAAAAAAAAAAAAAAAAATAGTACCTGCCAATGTTTACATCTAGATGAAGTACTGAGACAGTTGGTAGTCTAATATACTTAAGCTTTTCATCATCTATTTGAATTTTGAGGCAGAGGTAGGCGGATCTCTGTGGTTCAAGCCAGCCTGGTCTACAGTGTGAGTTCCAGAACAGCTAGAGCTACATAGGAAGACTCTGTCTTAAAAAATTTAGAAAAAAAATAAAATGATAAAACTATGAGATGAGGCTAATGAACTTTAGCAAATGCTCATTTCCTAGAAGTAGCGTGTAAAAGAACTACTGGTGATAATAGAAACGCCCCACACCTACCACTGTCTACTTAGTGCACATGAAATGTGGCTATTTTATCTACGTCATTCTAAAATTCACTTAATTTAAAAAATTCTTGTCAGGTGGTGGTGCACACCTTTAATCCTGGTGCTCGGGAAGCAGAGGCAGGCAATCTCTTTGAGTTTGAGGCCAGCCTGGGCTACAAAGCAAGTTCTAGTACAGCTAAGGTTGTTACACAGAGAAACCTTGTCTGGAAAAACAAACACAAAAAACAAATTCTTAATTTAGGTACAATCCATGTGCATGGAGTTCAGTGAATTTTAGTCCATTGATTAGACTGTGGCATTATCATGTTGCACTTACTTTCAGAACATTTTCATCAGTCCAAAAAGAAACTCCAGGCTCATTACCCATCATTCCTTCCCCTCCACTTCCCTAAACCCAGGCAACCAGAAATCTACAGTCTGTCTCTATGGATTTGCCTGTTTTGGACATTTCATATAAATGAGTCATATAACATCTGTGGTCTACACAGGTCCGTCTGTTGTAGAACATGTCCGTACAGTTGTACAGCTGAATAGCAGTACCCCACTGTAAGCAGACACCATGTATGTGGGTGAACCTTTCCTCAACCCGTCTGTTTCTACGGTTTAGCAGTCATGAATAATGCTAAAATAAACATTTGTATGCTTTTTTGTTTTTTGAGAGTGGGTCTTCATGTAGCCCAGGCTACACGATATTTGTTTACACTGTGTGAAGCAGTATCGTTGTGATTGGTTTAATAGAGCTGAATGGCCACTAGGTAGGCAGGAGAAAATAGGCAGGGCTTTCAGGGAGAGAGAGGAACTCAGGGTTAGAATTCAGGTGGACAGAAGATACCAACCAGACATGGAGGAAGTCGGACATACAGATTGGAGGAGAGGTAAAGAACCATGTGGCAGAACGTAGACTAACAGAAACAGGTTAAGTTATAAGAGCTGCTTGGGAATAAGCCTAAGCTAAAGGCCAACCTTTCATAATTAATAATAGGTCTCCGTGACATTATTTCGGGGCAGGCAGTCCAAAGAAAGTCCAACAAGAGAGTCAAACACCACCAGATTGGTCTGGTATTTACTATGTAAGTAATACCTTACCTTGACTCCTCATGGTGTCACTTCCTGAGTGCGGGTTTTACAGGCATGTAATACAGTTAGAAAGTGGTTCTGATTTACATGTCACCCCATGATGAGTGATGCTGAGAAATCTTATGTGTTTATTACCATTTACAAACCTACGACAGCCAGGTGCTATGGTACACACGTGCAACTTCAGCTGAAATCAACATTCGTAGTCTTTTTTCATATTTTTAATGAATTTTTTATTTCTTTTGAGACAGGGTCTTTCCTGGTGATCTTACTAAGGAAACTGTTTCAGTACAGGAGGAACACAAAGGAATTCAAGCCTTTACCCTCCCACTGCTGACCATGTACCAGCTACCGTATACACAGGGGGAAAGTGTTCTTTACCCTCCCACTGCTGACCATGTACCAGCTACCGTATACACAGGGGGAAAGTGTATGCTGTAACTCTGCTCTATAAACCCTGAGGAAGTGGAAGGTCCCACCTGACTCAACTCTGCCATCAACAATCACCCTAGCAAGCCTGCAAATGGACACTGACTTTGGCTTCCACGAGTCCTTACCTGGATGCATCATCAAGTAGCTGGTCAACATAAGCCACCTCAGACTCTTTCTGAACCACCCACGTCTCCAACTCCGCTAGCTGCTTCTTCCGCTGCTGTATACAGTCCATCTTTTCCAGTTCTTCATCAATGAACTGACAAAGTTCCTCCATGGAGATGCCCAGCTCTTCAACCACGGCCTGCTGCAGCTCGGCAATGTCTTCAGAGTCAGCTGCAGCTGGTGCTGCATCCAAACTGATGCACCCAGGGAGGGAGGACATGCTTTGGCCCTGTGCAGAACAAGAAACAAAACTGACCCTAAGCTCAACTCTCAGACAATTTCAGTCTCGTAGTGAAACGCACCCCTATCCTGCGACCTCTTATTCACATAGTCTGTCCTCTCTCCTCCTTCTCCGGAACGCGATCCGGAGGTTTTCTAGGGAAAGTCACCTTCTCGTACAGACCAACGGGCCTGAATAAGAACTAAGAGCTTAGAGGGCTTGGAGAACACCAATATGCATAGGGAACTACTCAGAACAAGGTTTCAGAAAACTGAGGAGTGCTTCTCTCCAAGGTAGTTCTGTGAGCTAACCTGTCCCTGGTTAACTAGAAAGACGACTCTGTCTACACTGTCCAATCGGAAGTAGCCCGGCCACCTGGGGACAGCTGGTCCGAGTTAACTAATTCCCTCTCGGCTCCTTCACTGCTTTCCTCACGTTACTTCGCTTCCCTGGGGGAGGTAACTCCTGCGACCAGGCAGGGGGATGGCTGCACAGGCCAAGGGGCCCCGGATTCTAGCCCAGCTTAAGCCAAGGAGAGGAGAAAGGAAGGAAAGGCGGACAGACAGACAGACAAGGTCTTTCCTACGTGACCGAGCAAAGCTTGCAGCAAAGGCGACCACCCGACATCCACGCTCCAGAGGACGCGCGCGGGTCCGGCTGCCGGGCCCACGAAGGGAACGCGGCGGCCCCGGGGCAGCTCCCGCGCCTCACCGTGGCCCGGCCTCACGCCCACCCGCGGCCGCCGCCGCCTCAGACCCGCCCCCACCTTCTCCGCTCCCCGCCGAGTTTCTCCACACGGCCGCCACCTCCCAGAGGAACCATCCCGGCTCCACCTCAGCCCACCTCCGTCCGTCCTCTCCGCAACCCGGGCTCCCAACCACAAGGGCTGTGTCTCTCCACGCGGACCCCAGATTTCGCCTCCAGGGCTCGGCCTCGCCGACAAACACAACACACGACGGGAGAGGCAGCGGGCGTGGGGAAACAGCGTGAGGGAGACAAGGGGGAAAAGCAAAAGGGAGGCCCGGAAGCAATGTCGCGGGCCCTTCCGGTCCCCGCGACGGTAGCCCCAAGGGGTCAAATTTCATAGCTTGGCGCTGCGGGATCGGAGCTTGGGAAACTAAGGCTCCCAGGCTCATTAGTCCATTTATTGTTGTTCAAATTTTTTATGTTTTGTTTGTTTGGTTTTGGTTTTTGGACACAGAGATTCTCTGTGTAGACCAGGCTACCCTGGAACTCACTCTGTAGACCACCTGCCTCTGCCTCCCAAATGCTGGGATTAAAGATTAAAGGCATGTGCCACCACTGCCTGTTCCCCTCCCTGAACCCTTTCTCTATATGTGTGTGTGTCTGTGAGTATAATATATATATAATATATATATATAATGTAGCTATAAACTTTTTATTAAAAAAAACATTTTTACACCTGACTATTGGGAAGCAGAGGCAAGTAATTATCTGTTAGCACGAGGCTAGCCTGGGCTACATAATGAGTTCTAGAACAGCCAGACCTACACAGTGAGACCCTGTTCCGAAAAATCAAACGTGTGTGTGTGTGTGATTTATAAATATTATATATATTATTTATTTATTTTTATATCTACATGTATTTCACCTGTGATGGACCAACCTGATTCCATTTTAAGATTAAAAGCCATTTTGTTACAAAGTCAAAATATGTTCATTCTTGTTTTATGTAAAACTTGGATTTCACCAGGTCTTGACTCATTTTCTGGAATTTGACATGTTTTACACACTGTCCCCTAACCTCCACCCTGATAAAGTGAGCTACCAAATAATTTTGAGATGTTCTGCCAAGTTCCTCCATAACCAAAACTCCTATGGAAATCCCCTGGCCCTTGAGAAGCCCCTAGGCTTGCAGTTTGGGGGCTGTAAAACCCCACCTTCTCCTGTGTTCAATGCTGTTTCTCAAACCCTGCATTAGGGAAATAACCCAGTCTGACAGAAAATAAAGTTTGCTTAATTTAACCAAAGAACTTGGGTAATGGTCTTTACTCTCAGTCGGCAGAATTAACACCCTACATCTGTGTCTGCACACTACCTGTTAGCCTGGTGCCCGCAGAGGTCAGAAGGGGGCATTGGACACCCTGAAACTTGAGTGTGCTTTTGAGCCATCAGATGGGTGTGGACCTGAACCCAGGTCCTCTCCAAGAGCAGTAAGGGCTTATTACCACTGAGTCATTTCTCCAACCCTAATTATAAAACTTACATTATTCTTAGCAAAGAAAAAACAATGTGAGTTCATTTTAAGAATATGGAAAATACAAATGAACAAAAAAAACTATTCATAATTCTACCACTGAGATTGTGCAGCCTCTGTCTATAGAGAAGTATGTAATATATAAACAGACTCTTGTCTTTCGCATTTTTTTTTTTTTTTTTTTTTTGGTTTTTTGAGACAGGGTTTCTCTGTCTAACAGCCCTAGCTGTCCTGGAACTAGCTCTGTCAACAGGCTGGCCTCAAATTCACAGAGATCCGCCTGCCTCTGCCTCCTGGGTGCTGGGACTAAAGGCTTGTGCCGCCACCACCGACTTTCACAAATATTCTACAGCACATTGTAACCTATCTCCTTAAGTATCCCGTCAGAAGCTCATGTTTTACAAATCAGTAATGTTCTCCTATGAAAAGCCAGAGACCTGGAGAATCATTCCAAATATAATAATTTAAAGAAAGATAAAAAGAGTTATACAGGGCTGGAGAGATGGCTCAGGGTTTAAGAGCACTGGCTGTTCTTTCAGAGTTCCTGAGTTCAATTCCCAGCACCCACATGGTGGCTCATGACCATCTATAATGAGACCTGGTGCCCTCTTCTGGTGAGCAGGTACACATGCAGCGCACTCATACATAAAATATAAATAAATAAAAATGTTTTTAAAAAAGAGCTATGTATAAAACCATTAACAGCAACAGATTCAAAGTAGGAAGACAGGTTAAAGTACGTGAAGAAAACGCTAAAAAACCAGTTATGTTGTCCTGGTACTATCAGATGAAACAGAAATCAAGGCAAACTCCATTATGTAGGGGTAAAGATGGTTTCAATTAGCCTTCCAAGGAATCACTGTGTGTGTTTCCCACGCTCCTTATGTGATGTTTCATCTGCTTCTCTCAATATAGCCTCATTGCTTAAATGACTGTTTTGTGTATCCTCTTTATGCCCCTGAAGATCTTGAATCAGCCTTTCCTTAAAAGTTTCTTTTGATTTTTTTTCCTCCTCTGGTTTTTTAAAAGTTTCTGCACCCCGGTATTAATCCTCTCCGCCAACGCAGAATCCAAATCAGAATCAAACCGAATTAAGAAAAAGCCCAGGTTTAATGGGTAAAATGCTCCCAGATGATTTTCCAGCCACCAGAGAGGAGACAGGGAAGAGAGACTGAGAAGTCATGTGTCTGTTCTCTGGGGGGCAATTTAAATACCCTGTGGGAGTGGTCTTGAGCATTTCTGGGGGAGCCTTTCTGTGTTTGGCCGGCTTTCTGAGATGAGACAGGGTTTTGGAGAGAGAGACAGGACAGGGGGGTGAAGTGGAGCTTCCACCAGAATGGTTTTGCTCAGGCTTTGGCTCTCCTTCAAGGTTTGGTTCAGATAGATCCAGATATCTCAGATATCTCTTCAGGGTTTCCTTCCTTTTTACTTTTGATGGGTTTCGTCTTGTGTGTGTTTCTCTAGCTTCCTTCTTTCCTTCTTTCTGCCCACTCATCTTCGAATGCAAGCACTTCCAGCACAGAACTAGTCAGTTTTTTTTTTCTCCAACTGTTTTTAACATTGGGCATTGCAAAAGAATGGTCTTGCAGATGGCGAAATTCAAGCAAGCTCTCTCCTCCTTACCCCCGGCCTCACACAGGCCACATGCAGAGATGAAGGAAGCTGGTACCCAGATGGAAACACCATGTCTGTGCACCATATGTACAGGGCCTGTGGAGGCCAGAGAGGGTGTCAGCTCCCCTGAAACTGGAGTTACAGAGGGTTGTGAGCTGCTGTGTCTGTTCTGGCAACCAAACCCAGGTCCTGTGCAAGAACAGCAAGTGCTCTTGACCACTCAGTCAAGCCCTAAAGTTGTGTCTTTCTTTAAAGGACAATGGGACTTATCAGTAGGAAGCAAAGCGGGTCACAGTAACTGTTGTACACAACACCAACACATTGGAGACAGAGGCAGGAAGATAACTGGTTCAGTGTTAGTCTTGGTTCCCTATTGAGTTTGAGGTCAGTCTGGAGATGGGGGAGAAAAAAGGATCACAAGTTTAAGACCAGTTACATGAGACCCTCTCAAGGAACTGAAAAAAGGAAGGAAGGAAGAAAGGGGAGAACAGAGAGAGGGGGGAACGGAAGGAAGAAAAGAAAAAGAAGGAAGAGGAAAAGAGAAAGGGAAGATTTGGAAACAATGTAGATTTCTGTTTCCAGAAACTCCTAATTTCATAGCTTACTCAAACAATGACGTACTCTTCATCTGTTTTTAGAAAAATCACAAAAGGTGATGGAGCTGTGGTTTGGTTAGTGTGGTGCTTGCAGGGAAAAAGGGAGCCTCTGGCTCAATCTCCTCATTGGTTTAACAAAACAAAACAAAGGAGTGGGAGCTGGTGAGAAGGCTCGGTCTCCCCACAAGCATGAGAACCTGCTTCAGGTGCCAGAACCCAAGGTTAAAAAAAAAAAGGCCTGTCTTTGTAACCCCAGAGCTACAAAAGTGGGGACAGGGGATCCCTGGAGCTTGCTAGCCAGCCATCTTAGCCTAGTTGATGAGATCAGGCAATGAGAGACTCCCTTAAAGGAGGTGGGTAATGTTCTGAGAATAATACCAGAGGTTGTCTTCTGGCTTACACTATACTACATACACAAGGGCACACTACACTACATATACAACACACACACACACACACACACACACACACACACACACACCCTGTGCACCTGAATGTACATTCACACAAATACATACACTCGTGCATTAAAAAAAAAAAAATCCCACAAGGATGCATTTCCTACTGACATAGAATCATGTTCCGAAGAGCCCAGAAATATAAAAATTGTAAGCCTGCACATAATCCAGGGAGATAGGAGCTGACAGCCACTGCGGACAAAGATGAACTTTTAACATTAGCTCCCTGCCTTACAGCCGACAGCTACTGTGGACCAAGGTTAACCTTTAACAGTTGCTTCTACATGACCCCCTGCCACATATTCCTTTGGCCTTTAACTGTTGCCTCTACGTGCCCCTAGACCTAAACTTGAGATTGTAAAAGTCCCTTTAATTCCCCACAAAGCCTAGCCTCAAGATTGTAGTAATCTCTTTAGCCCATACCTGGTGCTTGGCTTTCGCTATAAGAAGAGGCTCAAAACCTACACCCATTGTCAGTGTCTGAAGCCTGAACTCTGACCCGGGCCCCAGCGAGCTGGAAGTTTCTTTTTGCCCCATAGTGTCTGGAATAAAGTTTGCTTCTGGTTAATAGACTTCAGTGGTCTATTCCCCATTATTTGTGCGTCCCCAAGACCCAAAATTTCAAGATACAATATTTGGCTGGAGGAGTAGTTCAGTTGGTAAGGTGCTTGCCTGGTACACAGGAATAAGGAATGCTTGGTTCCATCCCTGTGCTTCATAAAACCAAGCAGTATGGTAGTGCATGCTTGGGAAGGGGAGGCAGTGGATGCGGAGGCAGGTCCAGTCAGGGATACCTTTCATTTTAAAAAATGAAATAAAATAATTTTTAAAAGGATGATAGGCTAGGGAAATGGGTCAGTGGGTGGAAGCATTGTTCCACAGTGAAGTCCTGAGTTTGCATCCCTAGAAGCCACATGTTGTGGTTTGAATGAGAATGGTCCCCATAAACTCATCCATTTGAATGCTTGGTCCCTAGTTACTACACTGTTTTGGGAAGGATTAGGAGGTGAGCTGCCATGTGGATGCTGGAACCAAACCTGAGTCCTCTCTGAGAGTAACAAGCACTCCTACAACGATCCATCTCTCCAGCCTCTCTTTCTTTATTAGCTGAGAATTTTTGCCTCTGTACATACAGAAAGCACTTTTTAGTGCTGGGGATGTTGCTCAA